GCCCTGAGGTCCTCCCACCTCTCTCCCAGGGTGGTGGGTCCTGTCCTGCTGTGTTCTCTACCCCAGGACACTTGCGACACTTCCAGAGGTTTAGTCTTAAAAGAGACCCTGCTCCCTTTCTGTCTTTAGATTTTCACTGGAGAAATGCCATGTCAGTGTCCTGAGCTTTCAAAAGTCTAATGACAGACATGTTCCCTGGGTTCTTTCATCTGCCCTGTGAGGTGGGAGTATCTGGCCAGTTTTGCAGGTGACAAAACCAAGGCTCAGGGAGTCGAATCCCCAGGCCTGTCATGTGCTCTCTCCCTGGCCCCGAGTTCAGAGCCCGTGCGCCTGGCCTCACCTGCTTTGCGCAAGCTCTTCCTTCTGGGATGCCAGAGTCAGAAGATCCTGGCGCACATTGGTCTCTCAGCCACAGTGGTGTTGAGGGTGGTCCCTGCCGGAAGGGAGGGATGGTGCCTACTGGGAAGGGCCTGAAGCCATCTAGGACCATGGTAGGTCTAGAGCACCTCACACTTAAGGGCCGCCCCTGCCTTTGCAGGAATCTGGGAATGAGCACCTGTGTTCAGGTGCCCTTGGCATCTTGAGCACATCCCCTGGGCCCTGGCCCTGCCCACACCCATCCCAGTTGTCCATGGGACCAGCCTTCCTCCATCTCTCTGGGCCTGTCTTGGACAGCCCTTCTGCACACTGTACAGGAAAGAGCTCCAGCCATGTGTGTCCCTGCCTCGGCCACTCCCTCTTCTGGGGCCTGGGGCAAGTCACAGCCTTCAGGTCTCTGCTTTCTCTTCTGAGCAGTGGTGTAAGGGCTGTTTCCAGAGCACAGTTCCCTAAGGCACAGGTTAGTTCTTCCTATTGTAATTATTTGATGCCTTCATGTAATTATTTGATGCCATCTATCCATCCATTCATTCAATATCTATATCTATATATATATTTATTGCACCTTTGCTAAGTCCCGTGCTGTGTGCAGGGGGCTGGGAGACCAATGCCTAATTGCACACTGTGATTGCTGTAAGGAGGAGGATGGGGAGCCATGAGAGAGGGTTGAGGAAGGAGATCATTTAGTCTGGGAGGTCAGTTGAGCCTTGAAGGATGGGCAGGTTTAGCCAGGGAAAGAGTCGGGAGAGGACATCCCAGGTGGAGGAATCATCGTGGGTGCGGCCCGCATGTAGGAGGGGCTTGTCATATTCCAAGTCTCTAGCCCCCTGATGCTGGGACATCTCTTGGTGAGAACATTTACCACATCGTTTTGGCTGCTTGTCTGTTTCCTTTGTTGGATTGTGAGTTACTGTGGGCGGGGATTTTACCTTTTTTAATTTCGTCATTTGATACCCACTGGGAATGCATTTTATTCCGCAGTGGTTCTTAAAGTGGGGCCCAGGGACTCCCTCGGGTCACTGAACCATTATAGGGGTCCATGGAGTCAGAGCTATTTTCACAGTAATGCTGAGATATTACTTTGTCTACTCATTTTCTCACAATTGTGCGATGGAGTTTTCCAAGGTGACAGGAAGTGTGATGTTGCAGCAGATTTAATGTACAAGCAGATTTGAGAATCCAGCTCTTTCCATTAACTCAGACATAGATGAGGTTTGCAAAAATGTTAAAAAAAAAAAAGTAATTCTTCTCACTTTTTTTATTTTAGAAAATAAAAGTTTTAGTTTATTTAGTTTTCAAAAAATATGCTGTTTATGTTAATGTGAAATGGCATTGTTATTCCTATTTAAAATGAATTAATAGACACTTTAAAATATTTTCACCTTTAATTTAAAGAGAGTACATGTTGATGAATATAATCAGCACAAACAAAAGTTTTTTGGAGCCTTCAATAATTGGCAAATCTATAAAGGAGTCCCAAGACCAACGAGTCTGAGAAATCACTGCTCGGTAGCAAGCCTTATCTGATGTCCCAAGAATTCAGATGAAAGAAACCACCCAGCCCCTTTGAAAGATAAGTGTCTATTTCAGAATGAGATCCTTTCATCATTTTCACCATTTCATTATGCTAATAGTATCATTTTGTTATTTTACTTGAAGCACCACACAACAGTAATTTAGGTTGGTTGTGATGCCAAGTTCAGTGGATTGGGGGTGTCCCAAATTTGTAGAAAAGAACAACAAAAAATCAGCCAGATACGATGTAACATTATCTGTTACACTGTGTAATTACTGTAGCTTCAAAATTGCAGCCTTGGAATTCCAAGTTAAGGGAACTATTAGTCAAATAAGCTCACGCCTGTAATCCCAACACTTTGGGAGGCTAAGTCAGGAGGATAGCTTGAGGTCAGGAGTTCAAAAGCAGCCTGGGAAACATAGTGAGACCCTCACCTCTACAAAAACATATATATATTTTATTAGCTGGGTGTGATAGCACATGCCTGTGTATTCCCAGGTTCTCAGGAGGCTGAGGCAGGAAGATGACTTGAAACCAGGAGTTTGAGGATGCAGTGAGCTATGATCTCACTACTGCACTCCAGCCTGGATGGCAGAACAAGACCCTCTCTCAAACAACAACAACAACAAAACAAAACTTCCTGAGAGCTTGGTCAGGAAAGATGGAGATCTTGAGGGTGTCTGTGCTTCACTTGATCTTTAATGGCCGGAGCACCCCAGGGCTCAGTGCTGGGTTCTCTTCTTCCCTCTGTCAACACTCACATCCTTGGTGATCTGTCTGTCCACTGGCAGCTCTTGAATTTCCATGTCCAGCCAAGACCTTCTCTGAGCTCCACCATGGATCTGCAGGCCTACCTGCCATGGTTCGTGGAGACTCATGGGCACTCCACAACTGATGCACCAAGGCAGAACCTAAATCCTGCCCCTAGGCTCCCTTCCTGCCAGTGGTTCCTCTGTCTTTCTTCTTCCTGGGCCCGAAGGCCTTGGCACCCTCCTAGCCTCCTCCCTCTCCCCAAGCCCCACATATAGTCAGCACATCGCATGGGTTTTATTTTCAAAACACACCCACAATCAACACAGTTTTCACTCTCTTTACAAACACCATCTTCATCTGAATTGCCACCTTCTCTCTGGGATTATTGTGGAGCCGCCTGACTGACCTCCTTGCGTCTCCCCTT